GTGTGAACATGAATAAATTTGTTCTCATATTTATTTATATTTTCATAAAAATAATTTTACAACAAAGATGATTTTACAAATACATTTTAAAATCAAATAATGTATTCATTCAAGGAACCAATATTTATTTTCAAAATACTTTTGAGTTTTATTTTCACTCTTCAATCTTCAAATAATGAAGCAATAAACACTCAAAAATATTTAGACCATAATATGCATAATAAATTCATAATATATCATTTAGACTGGAGAAGCTGGCTTTTCTGGTACTCATAATTTACAAAGTTAAAGTTTTGTATAGTGCCATCTGTTATGAAGTTATATTTAAATATTTTAAATTTTATTAAATAATTTTTTTTAATACAGTAGCCTCTCGTTATATCGCTCTTATGAGGAGACAAAGAAAAAGAGTGATATAACCAAGTACTAAAAATTCTGGGCTTATATTAAACAGACTACATATGATGTGGAATCTCTATCCTCTATTCTATTCTTTCTCCAGCAAGTGTTTCTGATATAAAATAAGATTAGTTTTGCAATACTGAATTTTATTTGTGGTTATATCAAATTAAATGACATTTACGTAAACATCGATACCACGAATGCTTATTTAGCATTATTGTTTCTTTAACAATGACATTTAAAGACAAATACTTTCAATGTAAAAACAAAATATCAGTTGTGATTTTATTATACAATACTATATTTCATAATAAATCGCTTATTAAAAATTTGTGTAATTTATATTTTTCAATAAAAATTATAAATACAGTAATTAAAAAGTTAGAAAATAAATATTGAACATATAACAGAACATCAAAACTTATAAAATTACAGAGTAAAAATTCTCCAAAAAGCAAATTTAACTTTTTAAAACTTTTAGAACTTTTCCTTCAGAAATAAAGTAATCTTTTCCTTACACAATAGCGAGGTTGAGGCCAAAGTTTTAAACATGAAAACGTGTACGTTAGACGTTCAGCGCTGCTTTCTTGTAAGCATAGAAGTTTGACAATGGTGTTTGGATAGTCAGTAGAATCATGCTCGACATTCCAAACACCATTGTCAAACTTCTAGGCTTACAGGAAAGTGGCGTTGAACATCTGACATACACGTTTTCACATTTAAAACTTTTGCCTCAACTTTGCTATTATGTGGTGAATTTGAAACTTGTAAATGAGGAGACAGTAGGACTACTTAAAACCGATAAATAAACAACTTTTTAAAAGGAAACATAAATGATAATTGATCTGTCTATCTGCTTTGCTTATTTAGATCATGATAAATTTATTGATTCATTCACAGTTTCAAGGATAATAGTAGGAATAAAATATGGTATTTCATTGCAAAAAGAATTCAATGTCAATTGATATTTTATCATTTATTGATTCAAGTGCTTTAAAATTTAGGAACAAAAAAGTGGAATATAATGAGGGACTACTGTATTATGAAATGCAAAAGCCTTATTTTGGGTATGGGTATGCTTTTAAAGAAATTGTAATTGCTGATAATGAGTAAAACTTTCATGAAGTCCAATCCCACTTGAGAGATGATACATGATCCCCTGTCACCTCCTTGACTTTTGAGTACCAAAATTTAATAGCATCAGTGCCTTATGTAGAAATAAACCTGCCAAGTTTCAAAACTTTTGGTTCAACCTGTTCTGAGATATAATGTAAAATAGATGACACATACATGTGCACACATGATTTTGTAAAGATGTTTTTTATTTTACTTTACATTTTTGGGATCATGTAGTGTCAGAATGTGAAGAAATTTAAAAAAGAATTAGGGTAAAATTTGATTGATCATTATATTTTTTCTATATTACATTCTATAACAGCCAGGAAAGTAATAGAGAATTTTCTTCAATGTTGTAAATGATAATTATTGAGAATGAATCTTAAGTTTTATAAAATTATCATTGATACATATAGAAAAAAAATTTTAAAACAATAATAGTAATAAAGATTTTTAATATATAGTTAATTTTTAATAAATTTAATAGAAACCATAAAAAATATTATTTTTTATGGTTTCTATTAACTTGATTAAAAACAAAAATTAAAATCAATTATTTCTACTTCCCTATTTTACCCAGTTAATGATTGTTTTAAATTTTAATTTTCAACTTATTTGCTATATAGTTAGTTAAAGTTTGTTGACTTTGTACAATTATACATTAAGAATTTAAATTATGACAATAATATTGATTTGTTCTTGCAAACAAAAGATTTTATTTTGTATCTTGAGGAGAAAATAAAAATAATGTACTGCAATTTATATTTACAATTATAAGACTTTTAAATTATTAAATAAAATTGGAAATTTTATTTTCATTGTTTCAATTCTTGTTTTGAAAGTAAATGAATTTTATAAGTAATTTGATAATTAGTCTTTAAATAAATAAATTTGGCATTTGATATGAGTAATTTAACTAATGAATTAAATGAATTTATTTAACATAAATTTGTTTTTTAATTTACAGCTTTTGTGTATACTTTAATAGAAATTAAAATAATATTGTATGTGTATATATGTGTGTTATACAAGTATTTTAATTTATATTAAATAATATATATAAAATTTTTACGTAATGTAAAACATTTGACATAATAGAAATAATTTATAATAGATGTTAATTTATCATAATTTATAATAGATATAAAATTAATTATATGTTTCTTAATCATATTAATTTTTATTCATTATTTTTATTACAATTACATTTCATAATAAATAAACATTAATTTAGAGTCATTTTTAATTATTTATGATTGGAAGTTTTATATATATACTACAAGACGTATGATAAAAGTAAAGTTAAAATAAAGTGTAAAATGAAATAATGAAATTTTTATAAGTTTAATACTTATAAAAATATCTAGATAATATACTTTTTAAAATATAATTATTTTTATCACATTGTAATTAGATATATTAATTTAGATCAAATTTTGTTAAATGAAAGTCTTTGAAAGAAAGCAACTCAACACCTTCCATACATTTTCCAACAAAAATCTTTTATGGAACAAATATTTTTGGCCTCTTTCTGTGAAATATAAAACCTGTTATAATTTTTATTCTATAACCTATCATAGATATTTTTTCTGTTGCTGATGGTTGTCTTTTTTACAATGTCACAACACAAAATACTGTTGAAGTTATAGAGATAAAATCAAAATAATTAAAAAAAAAAATGTATTTTCAGTTTTTAAGTTGCCAAATGTGAGCTGTAAGAATTTAGCTAAGTCAAATCAACAAAACAAAATGATTTATCTGGACCATATTGATTTAAACATTTACCAATATAATATATTCTGTTTATTTTCAATGGATAACATAAATTATGAATTTTAACTTATCACCATTAATTTGTGGATGGGTTATATAACAATGTTTCTTGTTATATAATCCATTATATAATGTTTTGATAATTATCAATTTGCTGGTGATTTTATAATTTGTCTAATTTTTGATTATATGAAATTTTTGTAAATACTAAAGTTAATTTATACATTTTATATTGTCACAGATTAATTAACAGAATTCTTGAAATTTTGTATATTTTTAAGTGTATTAAAGGAAAATCCAAATTTGTAACATAATTGCATGTTTTATTTCTAATTATTTAAGCACTTTTGGACATGACAGAAATGAAGAAAACTTAGTTTCTCATATATTTTTTATATTACTTCTTAATAATTTTTGTTTCACTTTTTGAAATAAAGTTTATGAAGTCAGAAATATAGATTATAAAATCTGTGAAATATAAAAAATGATTTCAATTATGTAAACTGAAAAAGTTAAATGACTACAAATTTCTATTTTCCTTTCAATACTAATATTACTAACATTACTAACATAACTAACATATAACATCCTATTGCAGAAGCTGATTCATCACCGTTTGATGATTTTGCAGACGAACTTAGACCAATTGGTAAGTTTGTTATAGATTATTCTTATAATTAATGAATGAAATCATTAAAATTTAGTATTATATATGAAATTCCTTTAAATAAATACATACTTTTAATTTATTATATAATATAATAAATATATATAATATTTTAAATATAAATTGGAAAAAATAATTATCTTTAAAATTATTTATTCATCATTTACAAAATATAATGTTTTAATGTTTATAACTTGTGAGTATTTAATGCACAAGGAAAGTTCCATTTATTCAGAATGTTTTATTTGACCCCAAATTCTGTAATTTTTTAAAAATTATTGAATTGCAATTTGAAAAAATTGTAGACCTGTAAATTCCCACTGTCTCTCTGTGTGTCTGTCCTCCCTTATTAATCTTAAGAACGGTGTTAGATAGATTAAAGTTGAGACCAGATATAGAAAGATTAGGGGCAGAAGGCTCCCAATTAACTATATACAAACTTCCAGTATAGACAGGAACTCATGTTATTTCAATTAAAAAATTTTTTCTACGGCAGAGTTAGATAGATGACTAGCGTGACTCTGTTATCAGGAACAGTATGATTAGAGGATTTGATCCCGGGATCTCGAAAATCGGGATCCCGGGATCCTGACAACTTTTCAGTCCCAAAATTTTCGGGATTAAGTTTTCCTAATCCCGAGATTTTCGGGATTGACATCATTTTAAAAAAAGTTGCAAAATAGACTGCACGAAGCGAAATGTTCAGTGCCAGTGCTTTTAACAGAATTGCTTGCCTATCATTTTAATATATTATACAAGAAATTTTATTCCAAGCAAGCAGCAGAAATTAACCTAGCGGGCTTGCGATGCTTGCTTGGAATAAAACTTCTTGTATTTTCAACTAAAATGATAGGCAAACAGTTCTCACTGGGTTACTTGGTAATATACTTCATTTTTGTATTTTTGAATTTTCGCGGGCGGCAATCGATTTTCTGGTGCAGTCGAGAGCACTACTCAGACCGTTTTATTTGTCAATGTGTCAGCCATCTTGTTTTGCCAGTGTAGTTAATATAGACCAGATGCCTCTCGCTTAGGGGGTTGACCTTAGGTGAAAAAGTTATGACCCTCGTCTTGCCCGCGATCTGTCAGGATGATGCGAGAAAGTCTTTTTACCTTTCGGGGTAGTGGTTTGCTGGATGCTGAGAGACTCACACAGAGACTGAATTTACAAAATTAATGCGTTTATTTTTAGAAAGACATGCTTACAATGATCGAAACAATCGGGATTGTAGCCTTTACTCCTACAATCCCGATCCGTGTCNTTATGATATTTGTTGATAGCAGTAGATTTAATTAGAAAAGTTGTCAACTAAAATCATTTAATATGAATGATTCTAAATGAATATTTTTGACTTTGAGATGACTCCATGTTTAATGCTAATGATATCATTTGAAATTGTAAGTTGCCAGTTGATTTTAAATAATTTCAAATGATATTAAATGATATAATTATTAATTCATATATCAGTTATTCTGTATCAAATTAATATGAAATGTTGCAATTATTGAAATAATATTGTTGTATTATTTTAATATTTAAATGGTAATAAATTATTTAATTTCATTTAAAATTAGTTTAGTTGATTAGTTGATTACAAATGATTTTGGATAATGCAAATTAATATTTATTGATTTTAAATTATTTAAATTGCCAAATGCTTTAAACTTACTTAATCAATTGAAATCTGCTTATTTAATCTTGAAACTTATTTAATTAATTAGAAGCAATATGATAAGATCTAACAGATCTTATCATATTGCTTCTAATTGATTTGAAATGATGAAATTGACTGATACATTTATATTAATTCAAATTAATTTGTGTTATGAAGGATAACTTTCAAATGAGATGATGACAATTAATATTTTTGTTAAATTTAAAAGTTACTAGAATTATTCTATTAAAAATGCTTAATAGATTTTCTGTATCAATTGTAGATTAATGATGATGAATTCTTAGGCTTTGTTACAGATGAGTTAATATTTAAATAATAAACAGTTATAATAATTTTTGTAATATATTATTCTATTCTATACTTTTTAGATATTTGAGCCAAAAATTGAATGCTCTTATTGTTTGTAGCTTTTGTACCAGCAGATATTTGTATTCAAAACTAAAATTAAAATTGAATATGAGTATGCCTCAGAATTTCGTTATAGTATAGAGTTGAAGTCTAATTTTTTGGGATTACTTTGCCTAGAGAATCTAAACTAGTATATTTGCTTATGTTTGTTACATGATTTTGAGTATGTGATCATTGTTAATAAAAATTTTTATTGAACTGAACTTTAAAGTGTGTGAACATGAATAAATTTGTTCTCATATTTATTTATATTTTCATAAAAATAATTTTACAACAAAGATGATTTTACAAATACATTTTAAAATCAAATAATGTATTCATTCAAGGAACCAATATTTATTTTCAAAATACTTTTGAGTTTTATTTTCACTCTTCAATCTTCAAATAATGAAGCAATAAACACTCAAAAATATTTAGACCATAATATGCATAAGCAAAACCACATCATATCAGATATAATACTTTTAATCAGAGTTAACTGATGATTTTAGGAGGATATTATCAAATTTTATAATCAATATACTTGCTTTTTATTTTTCAAATTAAGGTTTATAAGATATTAAATTTTATCATATAATAAAGTGATAACTTGTACTCTTTGTAGTTCATAATGAAACAGCACATGTGCACTAATTTTAAGGGGCCAGAATTGATTCAGCCTCCCAATAACATTTTAAGTGGTTCCAGGGCCCCAAAGTTGAAATATAAAAATTACTCAGTTGCACAGAACCACTTAAAATATTATATGGGGGCAACTTGCACCCTAGAATTGGCACCCATAAAGAATTATATTAAAAAAAAATATGATTCTTATATATATATATAAACATCAATTCACAGCCCGAGTAGATAATAACAACACCAAACGATCGCCTAATTATCGGGCTATAATATGGCTATTTTAAATGATTGGAACTAAGTAATTTGACAATTAGAGGTAGGCGTTAGGCGCCATCTCTTAATTAAATTAATAATTAAATAAATAATAATTAAATAAATAAATTTAGAACATTCTGGAATAAAAGAACTGACCCGGGACGGGGCTTGAACCCGCAACCTCCGCTTGCCGTGCGGTGCGCTTGCCAGTTACGCCACCCGGACCCCGAGCGAGTCTTCGCTTCCAGAAGTATATAGATTTAGATATAACCTTACTTGGTTAAATACATCACCGACTGGGGACGACTCCTTCGCCCACGACCCTAACGGTACTCAGCCGGCTAACGTAACACCCGGCGAGGTATATATATATATAAACATCAATTCACAGCCCGAGTAGATAATAACAACACCAAACGATCGCCTAATTATCGGGCTATAATATGGCTATTTTAAATGATTTCAATGATTTAAAATAACCATATTATAGCCCGATAATTAGGCGATCGTTTGGTGTTGTTATTATCTACTCGGGCTGTGAATTGATGTTGTTATTTTTTTAATTAACAGTGTTTAATAGTAGTAATTTATTATTATTAAAATGTAATGAATAGTCAAATTTTGATAATTTCAAGGAGAATTTCAGCTTGTTTCTTCAAAGAAGAAGAATGATAACTGTGTTATGAAGATATATTTTTAATAACACCAACTGATATTTTTATTATGATCATTTCAAATGGCACAGTTGACGAGAGCTAATTTTAAGGAGTATCATTTAAGATAATTAAAATGATATTCGTTGATAGCAGTAGATTTAATTAGAAAAGTTGTCAACTAAAATCATTTAATATGAATGATTCTAAATGAATATTTTTGACTTTGAGATGACTCCATGTTTAATGCTAATGATATCATTTGAAATTGTAAGTTGCCAGTTGATTTTAAATAATTTCAAATGATATTAAATGATATAATTATTAATTCATATATCAGTTATTCTGTATCAAATTAATATGAAATGTTGCAATTATTGAAATAATATTGTTGTATTATTTTAATATTTAAATGGTAATAAATTATTTAATTTCATTTAAAATTAGTTTAGTTGATTAGTTGATTACAAATGATTTTGGATAATGCAAATTAATATTTATTGATTTTAAATTATTTAAATTGCCAAATGCTTTAAACTTACTTAATCAATTGAAATCTGCTTATTTAATCTTGAAACTTATTTAATTAATTAGAAGCAATATGATAAGATCTAACAGATCTTATCATATTGCTTCTAATTGATTTGAAATGATGAAATTGACTGATACATTTATATTAATTCAAATTAATTTGTGTTATGAAGGATAACTTTCAAATGAGATGATGACAATTAATATTTTTGTTAAATTTAAAAGTTACTAGAATTATTCTATTAAAAATGCTTAATAGATTTTCTGTATCAATTGTAGATTAATGATGATGAATTCTTAGGCTTTGTTACAGATGAGTTAATATTTAAATAATAAACAGTTATAATAATTTTTGTAATATATTATTCTATTCTATACTTTTTAGATATTTGAGCCAAAAATTGAATGCTCTTATTGTTTGTAGCTTTTGTACCAGCAGATATTTGTATTCAAAACTAAAATTAAAATTGAATATGAGTATGCCTCAGAATTTCGTTATAGTATAGAGTTGAAGTCTAATTTTTTGGGATTACTTTGCCTAGAGAATCTAAACTAGTATATTTGCTTATGTTTGTTACATGATTTTGAGTATGTGATCATTGTTAATAAAAATTTTTATTGAACTGAACTTTAAAGTGTGAACATGAATAAATTTGTTCTCATATTTATTTATATTTTCATAAAAATAATTTTACAACAAAGATGATTTTACAAATACATTTTAAAATCAAATAATGTATTCATTCAAGGAACCAATATTTATTTTCAAAATACTTTTGAGTTTTATTTTCACTCTTCAATCTTCAAATAATGAAGCAATAAACACTCAAAAATATTT